ATCCACCTACTACTTTCCACGTTGGAATAATATGACACGTGGTCCGTCACAGGAGGGGTACCCGGTTCCCGTATAATCGCCGAAGTTACGCAACGTCAATCTTGCTCAGTACCTAGATGGGTGACTGGTTGGGAATACCAGCTACAGTAAGTTTAGATGTGTGGGTGGCATAGTGGATAATGGCTCGGAATTGTTAATCAGAGAGCCGAGTTCCAATTTCAGTTGGGTTCGTTATATTCACTTCGACCAGTGATTCTTAACCTTTTTTCCTTATTCGCACCCCTTTCAAACAACCAACCAGTTCTCAGCCACTTTCCAGAATCGATAAAAAAACAATATTGATCTCATGTTTAATTAACAAAACCATTGTGTTTCTTTAATCTTTATTCACAAAACAATATAAGACATTACAAAGACCCTAGATTACTTTCATATTAGCAAAAACGATAACATTACACTATTATGATCGTAACAGTTGGTAACATTTCTACATTGTAAAATTTTATGTCAGATTGCTAAGCACTACACTAGAGTTTTCTTAATAAACCAATCATAATGACTCAGTATCCTCTCAATCCCTAATAACTGATATCGCAGTCCATGAACTGGTTAAGAACCGCTGAGTTAGGCCCTTGCAAAAGATATGAATCCACCTCTTCTATCCCCTAGGTATGGGTTAATTAGAATAACGCTTATCACTAAAACCATTATTATCTCCTACAAATAAATTTAAGTAAAAAATATTTAAAATTCGGCATAAGAGATTGATATGCCGCTAAAGAAAAACCCCTAAAAAGAATAAAAAACGGTGGGATATCCATTGTCGTATATATAAAGGAAGGACAAGATTTTTCTAGGCTTGTGATCACTGCCGATGTATTTCTCTGAATCTTCATATTTGGTGAGGAAGATGCTGTAAGATTGTCATATTGAGGTATTTTTATGCTTCCAATTCTTGTAGGTATTATTTATCTCATTTATCTTTCTTTTTGGATCTTTTTCATCCTGAATAATGTAATGTTTCTTATCGCAAACATATGCAACTTATGTTTTAAAAAAGGCTAAAAATAATAGCAGTCTTTTTAATTAAAAAAAAAGACACTCAATAACATCAACTATGAACATGGACACAATAAATTAACCGTGTTTTGAAAATGAAACATATTAATATATACATACAACAGTCTATTTCTCTTTAACAGTTAATATATTTCAACCTTGAAAATGACTAAATGTATAGCCGAAAACGCTCGGAAAGAAAGAACAGATGTAGAGTTTTTATATAATTTATCCTCCGAAAAGAAAAAAAATTGAATATCACATAAGAAAATGTATAAACAACTAAATCAAAGCACCTTGTATATCATATTCAATGAAACGCATGCATATATATATATATATATGTTTTTCGTGCGTTCGCCTTTCTTTAACATTTGGTGCTGAAAGTCTTTTAAAAATAGAAAGTCCCTCATTCGAATTCCAGCGATGATCAAAACGAACACGAAGACTCGGAATAAACGTTCCTATTATTATTAAAGAAAAACACTCACACAAATAATACATCTCAAACAGTCAAAACATGAAAAGAATCTAACAACACGAAAACAAAGCCCCATGGTTAAGAAAGTGGCCAAAAGCGCTTGAGACAATGGACAATATGGATAGTTTTTGTACTCTCTCGTTCCCTCCAAACGGAAAAAAACTGTAAGAACACTGGAAATAGTAAATAAAAAAAAAATAATCAAAATTTTCCCTGTCCGTCATATTTAACGAAAGATGTTTAAAAGAAAGGTCACTGTCCGAATATACATTATCTCTGTATCGACTTCAGATTTCACGGAACACCGCTCATCACAGACAGAGAGCGCGATGTCTATTGAATTATGAACTTGAGACATATTTCTACTTTACATAAGAAATCCTAATAAAAGACTCCGTCCTCATTATGTGTCCTAAAACTTCAGCTGCTTCCTCCTAATGTTAAGTATAAACCTCCTCCTTGTTTGCAACCTAAGACCTCATTGTTGCTCACGCGCTCGGTCCATGATATCCTCAGCATCCTCCTGTAGAACCACATCTCCGTCGCCTCGAGTCTTTTCTTCATCTCTGAGGAAATCGTCCACCATTCGCTGCCGTAAAGAAGGACAGATGTCACGTAACAACAGCTCAGTATTTTTTTCTTTGTTACCAAAGAAATCCTCCCGTCCCGCAATACTCTGTCCAGCTTTTGGAATGTGTCCTTGGTCATCTCAATACGTCTACGGATAAGATTTATTGATTATTTATTTTAACTTGTATATTTGCTTTTAATACGACTATATTGAGTCTATCGGCCTGTGCATTGGAGGAATCTTAATAACGAAAATACACTCTCCTACCGCAGGGATCGAACCTAAGTTCCACTTTGTAGTCGAAATCGCCGTTCGATCAAGCAGGTTCGATCAAGCTCGGCTTCGATTTTTCGTTTTATCCTTTTCAGGAAAGCACACTTTCTCATTCACAAGTTTTTTTTTCTTTCTTCGAAAGCGCATGTCGGCTCAGTAGCCGAGCGATAAATTATACCGGGTCCAACGGTGTTTTTTTCTTTAAAGTGAGGCGCATGTTCAATCCCTGCTGAAGGATACATTTTTTTATTAAGATTTCTCGAATGCGGCTGTTTTGAAATTAATTTCGTATAAGCGATATTTCTACATAAAAATAATACGCTTTAGTTTTTAATTATAATTTTATATTTGAACTTTATTTCTTCAGTTAAAATTAAATTTATCAAAGAAAATTGACCCCGACTCCAGATCTTTAATTTTTTTTTTTAATTCGATATTCATGATCTGGAATTTACGGTCAAATCGCGTAGAAACTTCAAATATTTCGGCTTTGAATAAGCCACATTTTTCAGCCGTAAAATGACAAATCTGTCAATCGTGAGCTGGGAGTTTAATCGACACTAATATTAATATTAATAAGATTTGAAAGTTTTCCTGGAAATGTGCGTTGCTGTAGAAATCCTTCGCCTTAAACAAAAAGGTATAATTTAATAGTGCTGCAATCAGGAATGAGCATCGTATAAGACACGACATTGTTCGTTTGCGTTCTACCATAGCTACTTCGATTAGCTCAACAAGTAAATGCTCATAATTGTAAGCCATTTGTTAAGATCGAACTAAAGAAATCAGTCGCCTTTGAGGCGAATCTTGGTCATTACAGAATAAGAAAATCATAAATATTGCAGATTTTCTACTTAAGTGAACGAATTTTTCGGCCAACCCAATACAGTGTTCAAAAACAAAAACAAAAAAAATTGTAGCATTCATATCATATACAAGTTTTCACTATAATAACGTTTGAAAGAGAAGATTAATACAAGAAATTGAGAAAGATTTATAATGATCCTCGTCACACGTCACGAGACATCGTATATAAGAGTTGTAAGACATTTGTAAATACTTGGGTAAATAAACTATAACGTAACGACGTTTGGTTGCCTCTCGATTTAAATAAATAAATAAATAGCGTTTCCATTTGTGGTTTTCTGCACAAACAGAAAAAAAAAACGACTCCATAATGGTGTTGAATAGTGACGTGTTTTTAACAATGTTGAGCGGAAAATTTTCTGTAAAAAAAACATAGAATGAGTCGCTGTTAACTTTTCTAAAATATGATCTACATCCGATGAATGTGCTGCTGTGTATCTGGAGGAATCAGAAAGTTATTAAATAAGATGAAATATATTAAGAAATGGACAAGGTCCGACAATTTATTTATTAAAGACATTTTTATGTTTAACGTTGTTATTTTTATAGATACAAGTATTTAAGCAAATTCTGTTTATAAGCAGTAAATTCGACTTTGTCTACCGAAAGGTTCTTTGTGGCCCAGAGGTAAACGTCAGCGTAAATGACGGTTCCGTATAGGATGTTCGAATCCTGTCAATGAACGAATATTTTCTATGAAAATTTCTCGGACATTCAGGCCGGTAAATGTTATTTAATACTGTTTATTAAACAGAGCATTTGCTTAAATACTTGTATCTATAAAAATAACAACGTTAAACATAAAAATGTCTTTAATATATAAGATGAAATGTTTATTCTGTGTTTGTGTAGAAAACCACAAATTGGAACGCTCTCTTTTAATTTATTTCTTTAACTCGAGAGGCACCCAAATATCGTAATAGTTTAGTTACCCAATTATTTACAAATGTCTTACAACGCACATGTGATATAAGGAATAATATCTGCCGTTTGACCAGGATGCTTATAAATCTTTTTTGGTTTCTTATTTTTTAATCATTCTTCTTTTTCTTTCGTGAACGATTTCTAAATCTCTTCTTACTTTCTTTTTCGCTTTCTCTCTTCTCTTTCTTTCTTTAATAATTTCTAATTTAAATATTTCTTTCTTTCTTGATTACTTAATTTTAATCTTTCTTTTCTTTAGAGCCATGCAACACCGGTCCCATTCAATGACTGGATAAGCAACGTTGAGCATTTAGATGGGTGACCGCTCGGGAATGCCTGGATGTGCGGGTGATGTAATGTCTAACATCTCGGAATGAAAAATCAGAGAGCCGAGTTTGAATTCTAGTCTACCTCGTTATATACATTTAAGTGCAAATACCCTTGGGAAAAATTTGATTTCACTGCTTCTCATCACAGCTATGGGTAAAGCAGTAGAACATGGAATGAGAAAAACATTATTGTCTCCAAATAATTTATACAATCTAAAAATATATTTCAGTTTTAAATAACATTAAAAGGTGGATAACTCCTAAAAAAAGAAACAAATCTTTCTTTTTTCTTTCTTTCTTCTCTTTCTTTAACGATTTATTATTTAAATCGTTCTTTCGTTCTTTAATGACTTCATATTTTTAATCTTTCCTGTCTTTCTTTCTTTCTTTCTTTCTTTATTGCTTGCTTGCTTTCTTTCTTCTCTTTCTTTCTTTAACGATTTATAATTTAAATCGTTCTTTCTTTCTTTAATCACTTCATATTTTTAATCTTTCC